AGCTGACTGGAAAATTCCATCTCTCTTTTGTCGATGGTAGGGCTGAAGGAGTAATGGGCCTAGTTTCAGGGTTATGATGATGCACTCCTTATCCGACCCAGCCCCGGAGGACAACGGAGAAGCTGCCCTAAGTTACCCCTGGACCTTGGTGCTAGGGAGAACCTTCCTTAGCAACGAGGATCACCCAGGGGACAAGCGCTGGGCTGAGTGGGGCTCACAGAGTCAATGAACCCGTTTGTCTGGGTTGTTCTCCTTCCCGTTTGCAGCTTGGCTCCTAATAGGACTCTCGAACTGTGAGGGGAAATAGATGGAAGTCTGTGATAGGAGGTTAACTCGTGCCCCACTTAGTAACCAGGCCAGGGGAGGCCTCTGACTAACCTTGGGACTGACACCTGAAAAGAGGGTCCTGGGTCCCACCCCCATGCGATTTTCCTACCCTTTTCGGGGAGCCCTGAAGCCGGGCTGCACCTCCTTCTTGGCAGTCCCTCAGAGGTGTGACCGACGTTTGAGATAAGGATTGTCTCCAAACACTGGGACCTGTGTGCCACCCCCATGCTGGGAGGGAGGGTGGATGCCGGAAAAACCTGTTTCTCCATTTGCCCCAGCCCAGCCGCCAGGGAAACTCCCTGAAGGGTCTGGGGAAGGGTGGGGGCTGAGAGGATTATTTCTGAGATGGGGGAGGGGGAGGCTCTGACAACAGGTCTCCTGATAATAAATGCACGACTTATCAGACACAAGCGTTTATTACTCAAAATGGGAAGAGGTGAGCAGGGCAAGGTCCTCAGGTCTTCTCTCGAGCCATCACGGGGGACAGGCCCGGACCCCAAGTCCTCCCTAAGCAGGGCCCAAAGGGGAGCCCTTCTGGGGCCGTGGGAGAGCTGGAGGGAAGCGGGAAGGGACTCGGCAGAGCCGAGAGGAGGGTGTGGGTAGAATGACCGATAGGGCGACTGCTGTCCAATCAAAGAAATGTGAAGGTCTGAGAAATGTTTCCCGAGCAAAGGGAGCTAGGGGAGGCCGCTGTGGGCAGCCAGGGGTCCGGAGGCACAGGGAGAGGCTCCGGCTGAGGCAGGGCAGGGGTGAGTGTCAGTGCAGCAGCGAGAGGCCGGCGCCCGCCACGGAGGTGAGGACCAGGCCCAGGGCCGGGGCGGGCCGAGGGGCAGGGCTGTTGCAGTTGTCCTTCTCGCAGCAGGTGGTGTTATAGATCAGGCCCAGCTTGTTGTTGCTTTGGTTCAAGGCCTCCTGACAGGGCTCCGCAAGTGTGCCACAGCGAAGGTTGGAGAAAACCCACATCTTGCCTGGGGGCAGGAGTGGGCAGCGGTGTCAGCTGGGATGGGCACCTGGGATGCTTGTGTCCACTTCCCCGCCCCATGCACTCACTCAGCCTCCTTTCCTCCCAAGGCTGCCCAGCTCCCCCTTCTTTCTCTCTTCTCAGTCTCATCTTCCTGCTGTCCCCCAGGTCCCGCCCTTCGCCCAGTCCCAGTCCTGTCACTTGCCGACTGGGATGCCTTGGACCTGTTACTGCCGCTCTTTGAGGCTGTCTCCTCAGTATAATAACAGCCACATCATAGGGTTGTCATGAACATGAATTGAAACAATCCATGTAGAGACACAGAATGGGGCCTGGTATGAGATAATTTTTGGCCAATAGTTCTCACTGCTGTCATTCTCTGTTCCAGGTCAGCCTTAGCCCCAGTTGGGCCTCAGTCTCAGCCACAGAGTCTCCCACCGGCCCCGGGCCCCGGTCCCCGCTAAAGAAGGGCAGATTACCGAGGTACACATTTGTTGTCAGGCATTTCTGTCCTGGTTCCAGACGGCAGGACGTCCGGTCCACACAGCCCAGCACAGGGACCTTGTAGCAGGAGTGACAGCGAATGTCAGCTGGGAAGACACAAATCAGGCTGAGGTGATGGGGTGTCTGACTCACCTGGGGCTGAGCGGAGG